AGTGTGCTATAGATATTTGGACATTGACAAGACTCGATAAATTAGTATTGCCCAGGGCGATCAGTTGTTTTTGTATTGCTTGAGAATGGATACTCTTGACTTCCTTTAACAGAAATAAATCCTATAAAATATAAAAGCAGTGGATGTTTTTAGCAACTGATTCTCAGGTGAGGACGTTTTAAAAGAGATAAAATTTAATAATTGTTTTTTTTTTCTTTCCTTTTCCTCGAGGAATATTTTTTATGCGATCTAAATTTTTCATTTTGCTTTAAAGACAAATAAAAAGACATCCGTGAAAAACTAGATTGTTTCACCCATATTAAGCCCTTTTTTCACCCATTTTTCACCCATATTAAGCCCTTTTAAGCACTTTTTTTTATTTTTGATTAACTGTTCCAGAAATTATACCACTCATAAGCCATGTACGTACTTTTATATTTTATTACAGAATTTATACTGTTTAGTACAAAACTTCTCATACAATAATACGACAGTACTTTATAACTAATAAATAAAAGAACAAATAATGATTGTAATAAAAATAAGTTTCATAAAAATAAGTTTCATAAAAATATTTTTCCAGCATTTCCGGTAGTCCTACGAAAAGTTATAAGAAAACTAAATAATTTAAATTTGTGTATCCAAAGATAATTTCCAAGTAAAAATAATTTTTAATACTAATTTATTATTTTTCATTATTTTATACTCTTTTATTATTTCATTATTTTTTTAATATTTCATTATTTTTTTAGTATTTCATTATTTTTTTAGTATTTCACTTTTTTTTTAGTATTTCATTATTTTTTTAGTATTTCATTATTTTTTTAGTATCATTAATAGTGAAATTAATATGAAGGGGCCCACGCTTTCGATCTCTTTCAGGACTAATTCCGGCTGCTTCTAAATTTTGAGCCCGAAATTCCAAACACTCCAGAAAAAGGTACGTTTATTGAGAGAAAGTACTTTTTGTATCTGACATTGTAACTTAATTCATAGTTATTTTATTTTATTTCATAACGGTCCTGGAACAGTCGATCCAATTTCCGCTTTATGACTACAAATGTTTAACTCCGTAGGCTTGTAATATTGAACCAATCCAGAAGACAAGGAAACTTCTAGATCAGTTTTCCTAGAGGTAAGATTTGTTGTGGGAACATGGTGGACTTTGAAACTCAGCAGATTTAACGTGCATCAGTCACCATTTACTAAGCGGGGAGTCTTTGGCCAGAAGGGATCGAACCCACAACCTCTTGGAAATGAGCCCAGTGCCATACCAACCAGACCAAATGATGAGAAACATTGGCATAAAATCATTATAACGTTGCCAGCGTGTTTGTCCTTGTTCTTCAGAAAAGTATTTTTTTTCCTATGGGAAGTAAATTTTACAAATAATAATAATATGTAATTAATTAATTCATTCATTTTTATTTGCACGATTTATATCAGATTTTCAGAGAATCAAACCTGAAATTCAAACATAAGAATGGGTAATTATTACTCTACAAAAAAGAAAACTCTTGCAATTAAAATTTCGACCACTTCTTGACTATTTTGATTGCTCAAATTTTAACTGGCGTTCTGTACAGGATGACAACACAATTTTCTGACAACGCTTTCGTACCACTATAAGCAGAATTTATCAGCGATTATTTTCCGGCGTCAGCGAGCCAGGAGACACAGCTAAAATGTTGAAAATATGAAAATAAAAAACTTATATATATTTAAATAACCAAGTTTGTTCAGTACACTAAAAGTGAGGAAATAAATTTATAAATACATAACAAAATCCGTACATAACATATCCGCACATTTCACACATAACAAAATCCGCAAGGAAAAATTTTCACTATGAACTTCTGTCACCATTTTTCGTTTTGCTGGCGAAAATTATCATTTATTTTTCTTTTTTAATACACTTATCAAACGTGGTTTTTAAAAAAATATCTATTTTCAATTACACCTTTGAAAAAGGCCTATCATTGCCATCCTTTAAAATATATACTCTCATTGCAAGTTTTATTAATTTAAATTAAATTCCATTCTTTGCCAAATCAAAAAAACAACTATATTTGGTGGGAAAAAGTTTGCAAAACATATATTTTTAATTAAACATGCTTGAGAATAAAATCAGATGCATGTGAACAAATCTCCCCGATAATTTGTTAAACTCAAAAGGCAATTTATTTTCTATATAGTAATTATTTGCATTTTTTCCTAATCATGAATAGGAACTCATTAAACTATCTTTTTTATACGACCATTTCGATTACATCGCATATCCAGGATGTGTGGAGTCATTTTAAGTTTTTTTTTCCTTTTTACAACGATGTTTTTATTCTATAAGGTAAAAGAATTTATAAATGTTTGAGAAACACACAGGATAAAATAAAACTATAAGACATTAAAACTCTATAAGTAAATAATTAAATAAGAAAATAAAATAAATTGGAAATGCGAGAGCAAGTTATTTTTTTTTTCAAAACGTTTCAAACAATATTTCATTTCAATTTCAAATTAAAAAAGTAATTACAGAATTGCCAGAAATTTCCCTCAGCAGCAAAGACAAGAGGAAGAGGGTTATAACAAAATTGTAAATAAATAATATTTGCCTATAAGGTTTTCAAATTGGATTTTCATCTTATTTTTCCCATGCATTTTTTCAAGATTTTTATAATCATGGGAAGTTTCCTCCTTGCTCACTTCGCCCACCTACCTTCGTAATAGCCTCTAACTTATCTTAGTTTTTTTTTTTTTTCGTTTATAAATCGATATTTTTCGACAAAAAAAGGGAAATATAAATGAAATATATAATTATTGAAATTTTACGTAAGTAAGAAAAAAGCTTGCGTGTGAAAAAAAAATCAACTCTACTTAAAATAGGAAATATTTAAACTCAGGAATTGGAGGTAAAAAATGCGAAGTAATTTTAATAGCTAACTATATAAAATATTTGTGTTTTTCTGAATTCTTTGTAATCATTACTATTGTTATCATTCTGAAAGTTTTTTTTTCCTCTGAATAGATTTTAAACTTTATTACTACGAATTATTTATTGTGTTGGAACAAAAGTATAATTTTCTTTTTATCGTCAGAGAATTTATATATATATATAATAGCAATAAGATATTATAATACCTC